AATGGGTTGACTTGTTCAAGAGGGATATTTTCCTGACTTCTTTCTTTCCCTCCTGTTTCTGACTGAAGCACAGGTGTGGTGGCTGGAGCACCAGCATCTGTCTTGAACCATGAGGATGAAAGCCAGGGACTAGGGTTGATGTGCCAGGAAGACAAAGGGAGCCCGAGTCCCTGCTGGCGTAACAGAATGGAGCTGCCACTGTACCGGCCCGGGCTGTCCAGCTCAAGGCTTCTTTAACTGACCTCTTCCATTTGAGACAATAAATCCCTAATTTTTTTAAGACACGACTGTCAGTAAAAAGCAGTCAGAAATACAGTTCCTAAGCGGCACACTCGTATTTCACTTCTCACTAGAAAAACGGAATAAAACTTTTCCTAAGTTTGTTTTGGGGGTTGAGGTATATATGCTTTCTTTTTTTTTAAATGATAAAAGCAGTACGTTCTCCTTATTTCCAAGAAGCTAAGTTTACCAAGAGGCAGGCTCACTGTCACGGTGTGAGGAGCCCACTGGGGCGCCTGCTTAACCACCTGAATTGTTTCCTCACTCAGCTTTTGGGTGCTGGGTGCTGGGAGCTGGGTGCTGCGAGGCGGATGGGAGGGTGAGGAAATTACATCCGTCCCAGGAGTCTAAGTGGGCTGGTGGCTCATCTTTCCTTGAAGAAGAGCGAGTCTGCATTTCTGCCCTTAGCACCAGGTAGGCAGGTGTGAGGTACACTCGGAAGCTGGGGAAAAGCTGGGTGTGGTGTAGGTGGGCCCAGGGCCCAATCCAGTGACCAGAATTTAGCCCAGTGCCCTAACCCTTGGTCCCAATTGACCCCACCTAGAAAAATTGTGCCCCAGGGGCAGTTCAGACTGCCATATACCACCCTTCTCCAAAAGGGGGTCTCCTCACCCTCTGAGACACGGGGCCCCTGTCGCTTCCTCCAGGACAGCCCCTGCTGTCCTCCCTGTGCCCCGTACCACGTGACTGCAGTTTGTCACCTTGTAGAGTAAGTATTCGTAAGTAAGGAGGTGTGGCTCTTACGCTCATTAGTCCGGGAGCAGAGCAGGAACCAAGACTAACACCATCGTGCATCCCGGCTTCCCTTGCAACCGAGGCGGCCAAGCACCTGAGTTCTACCCAAGGGCAATGTGAGCAAAAGGAACCCCACAGCCTTGCCCAAACCCAGGAGGCACCATTCAGCATACAAAGGTGCGAGCCCAAGGGAGAGGCCTGTGCTGCACCAGCCCCCACTTGCTCTCCAGAGACGGAGGGTTTGAATGGACAGCAGCGAGGCCGAACACGACAGCAGAACCCCGGCCCGCAACCTCCGCAGCAGCTGCCCCAGAACGGGCAGGACTGGTCAACGATGCCAGCGCTCCTATTTTTATGTCTCTGCGTCCAACTCGGGACCAACCACAGGAGGTCAAATGTGCCCGCACACCAAGCACATAGGGTGTCCTGCTTCCAGTTAGCCCGCCTCGAGCTTGCCCTGCCCACAGCCTCCCATCAGGCCGCCCCAGGAGCCCCTCAGCGCAGGGTCCTCGCTACAGCAAGCTCGGAGCCCATGGGCTCCGCTTGTTCTTTTTGGGTGGCGCTCACCCATCTCTGCGCTCCCGTCCTGCTGAGCGCAAGGCAGAGTGGGCTCGGCACCAGGACGGAGGGGGCCAGAACCTCTGGTGTTAACGGGGCTGTCAAGCAGTCCTTGCCCGAGCTTTTCAGGTTAGTATTGGGTCCCTTTTCATTCATAGATTTCCCTTTTCGTCATAAATTCAATCTGTTGAGGTTTTGCTCCCTGGTACATGTCGACAATTTGGCTCAAATAATCTCACAAAAATTCTTCACAGGTTTGAATGTTTTCGTACGTTCAGTCTCAATAGAATAAAGATCCTTCTAATAACAGGGCTGTCTATACCCGGAGTGTGCTGGGCACAGGAGGAGAGGCACCGGTGGGTGTAGGCTCGCACCCGAGGCAGCTCCCATACAGGCTTGGTGCCATCTGTCAGGGTGGGCCGGGCAGGGGCCTCTTTGCCTTCTACTAGTTGGATTAGATGCCTCTGACTCTGTCTCCAACCCCTCTGGACTTTAGGGAGGCCCGTATTTTTTGCCTGCCTCTTGGGCTACTGGCCAGCTCTCGCGAGCCCGGGAGCCTCTCGCGATAGCGCGAGCCCGCCTCTGGAAACTGGCGCCTCGGGGCGGTGAAGGCCTCTCAGCGGTGCTGCCTCTCACGGTGCACTGCCTCTCCAGGCTGCGCCCGGCTACGAAGCTGCCTGCGGATAGAGCTGCCGCTTCCCATAGCAGCTGCCTCTAGTGACAGTGCCTATGACCTCTGACCTTGGGCCCTTGACCTCTGACCTATGCACTTTGACCTATGACCCTGGATCGGTAGTGAGAAAGAACACACTTCACACTTCACACACACACACGCAGGCACGCAGGCACGCAGGAATATTTGGAACTTGTGCACGTTTGCCCTGGGGAGGCCTGCACTGGATGAAGAATCAGAGTCTGCTGAGCAGATTCACGTACACCAGGCGTCACTCGTTTAAACTGGGATTTTCAGGATACCTGAGCATTTTCATTTGAATGCAATTATCTCTATGCTAAATACAAGGGCCTGACCTAGTCATTAATATTAAGACGCTGCTTGGTCTGGGTGGTCTGAGAGTGCTTGTAATGCAAAGGAGTGAAGCTGCCTCCTTGCACACAGAATTCAGAATTTTTACCCATTCTGACTGGATTCTTTCCTGTCAGGATAAACAAGCAAATCTCACCAACTCGTTTTGGGGGTTTCCTTTGTATACGGCTTTGGCCAGCATGTGGCCTGGGATCACAGGATACCAAGAACTTCCGGATGAAGAGTATAGGTGCAGTTCATTAACATTCACTGCAACCCACCCTTCTTCTGGTCACCAGGTTCAGGGCCCCAGCTTCTGGGAGGCAGTGGCTCCCACTGGCCTGGGTGTCCTTTTGCCATGCCTTCGGGGGATGCATAGAGGGGGCAAACGCCCAGAGCTGGCTTCTGGGTACCCTGGTCTCAGTTATTTATCTTCTGTAAAATGCGTGGGGCAGGAAGATGGGCCAAGACACAGAGCTAATGCCTTAAGCCTCTCTCCTCCAGCCTCTCATTTTCAGGAAATTTCCATGATGCCTGATGGAGCAACAAAGACAAAGTGGCCCTGGAGGTCCGGCAATCTTTCCTGGCCACCTGTGGGGCCTATGGAGCTATCTGGGAAGTGCCCTGAAGTGCAGTTCCCTGGGATATCCCTGTCCATGCCTCCACATCCATCCACCTGTTCACACATCCATCCATCAAACATTTGTGTGCGCCTGCTCTGTGTTAGCCAGGGGCCAGCTGGACCCTTGAGAAGTTCACGGTGTGTGGTCAAGACAAGCATCTGAACAATGATTATCCAGTGTGATAAAAGCTGTAACTGCGATGTGTGCAAACTTCCAAGTGAACACAAAACAGCGAGCAGAGAACTCAGCTTGGTTAGGAAGGCTCCACAAATACCCAGCAAGGGTCATGAGTCTTCACGGGAGCATGGGGTTTCCATTGTCTGGAGATGTGGGGTGAGGGGGAACATTCCAGGCAAAGGCATGAAAGAGCCAAGAAAAGGCCCATAGTTCTGCGAGGTTGGAGCAGAGGGGGAGAGGGAGAAGCAGGAGATGATCTGGAAACTGTCAGCAGGGGATGTCTTGGCACCATCTGAACTTTATTCTGGGGTCACAGTGCATGCCCAAAACAGAGCTGTGAACTCAGCTGCCTACAGGGCCAGGCAGAGGGTTAAATCAGTGAGGAGGGCCTCGTGGGACTGGAAAACGGGGCCTGCAAGCCCACCCAGAGGTGCCAGCCTTTCGCTGCCATGCTGGAGTGCAGGCTCTGTGTAGCCAAGGTTCCATTAACAAGAAAATCTGGATATCTATATTTTCATATGAACCCTCCCAAGTTTTAAATGTTGGAAATTATTTCAAAATATCCTGCTGGTCTAGCAAATGCACATCTGATGTCCTCTCAGCACCTGGGCCTCTCGTTTGGCCCTTGAGAAGCAAGGCTTAAGCAGAGCAATACGTTCAGACTCATGATTCAGATAGAAGATGTCCCTACAGGTCTCCCTGTGATCTGCCCCATCACCTGCCAGCAAGAACTTCTTTTCCCCATCTCCACACTTGCCGATACCCACGCAGGCCTGGCACCTCACAGCCCTCCCACCGCGTCCCAGCCCCAGCGCCTCCTTGCATGGAGGACCTGAACGAACGAGTTGGGTTCCAGCCCAGCTTACAGAGAAGAGCCCAGTGTCCAGGACACGAGAGAGCCGTATTTATTTCACATGGACAAGCATGATTCTGTCGCATGCTGAACACGAAAGCTTGGTGAGGCAAGTACCCGTAACAGCAGAACTATGTGCTTTTGTCCACAGGGAGCAGGGANTGAACTTTATTCTGGGGTCACAGTGCATGCCCAAAACAGAGCTGTGAACTCAGCTGCCTACAGGGCCAGGCAGAGGGTTAAATCAGTGAGGAGGGCCTCGTGGGACTGGAAAACGGGGCCTGCAGGCCCACCCAGAGGTGCCAGCCCTTCGCTGCCATGCTGGAGTGCAGGCTCTGTGTAGCCAAGGTTCCATTAACAAGAAAATCTGGATACCTATATTTTCATATGAACCCTCCCAAGTTTTAAATGTTGGAAATTATTTCAAAATATCCTGCTGGTCTAGCAAATGCACATCTGATGTCCTCTCAGCACCTGGGCCTCTCGTTTGGCCCTTGAGAAGCAAGGCTTAAGCAGAGCAATACGTTCAGACTCATGATTCAGATAGAAGATGTCCCTACAGGTCTCCCTGTGATCTGCCCCATCACCCGCCAGCAAGAACTTCTTTTCCCCATCTCCACACTTGCCGATACCCACGCAGGCCTGGCACCTCACAGCCCTCCCACCGCGTCCCAGCCCCAGCGCCTCCTTGCATGGAGGACCTGAACGAACGAGTTGGGTTCCAGCCCAGCTTACAGAGAAGAGCCCAGTGTCCAGGACACGAGAGAGCCGTATTTATTTCACATGGACAAGCATGATTCTGTCGCATGCTGAACACGAAAGCTTGGTGAGGCAAGTACCCGTAACAGCGGAACTATGTGCTTTTGTCCACAGGGAGCAGGGAGAGTCACCAGGGGGACTTTGAAGACAGTCACCCTTCAAGTAGAGCCAAGACCACAGCCTTAGGAAGCTCCGGTTTATCCCATCATCAAAGGGTCTGTCTCCTAGGGGTGGCCCGGGGGCGCTTCGGCTCTGCACGTCTGGATGAGCAGCTGAGGCCAGGGAGAGGAGGATGGTCCCCACGCCACCCCAGGGCCATTCAGGAGGTTTCAGCTCAGAGGGAAGCACAGGACACTCGGAATTAACAAGCTCACTCTGGGGTGGACGGTGACAGGGACAGACAGCTGTGTTCACTGCAACAGAACCATCACCACTTGCACTGGCTACCAAAACGGGGAGGCCGCTCCTTAAAGCAGTTTCCCGGGCAGCTTATGGGCTGAGGGGAAACGATTTGGAATTGACTGGACGCGCCACAAGCAGATGGCTTTGCCTGGGCAGACTGGGGGGCGCTAGCGGCAGCACCCCCGTCTCTCGGCCTTGGCCGGGCTCCCGGGTTCCAGGACGAGGGAGCCCAAGGTGGGGGTGGGGCTGGGGCATGGCTCTGCTGGGGCGAGGGGATCATAGGCCCTAAGAACACAGCTTGTGGCAGAGTCCAAGAGCAGAGCCTCGCACGTCGGAGGCTTATTCCCACCTGAAGTCCTGCCCGACGGTTTCATAGAATTTAATGTTGTAAGGTCTGTAAAACTCCCGGAGCTGGTCTATGACCTCGGGGTCGATCTGCACGTGAGTTCTGCCCTTGGATTTGCCCAGACAGCGGGGCAGGAGGCTCGACTCCGCCCGTTTGAGGCAGGGGAAGCCCTTGGTCTTGTTGAAGTAGAAGTGCTTGTCGGTGAGGAACCTCCTGATGCCCAGGAAGTCCTGCACGCGCCCCATCTCGCCCGCGGGGTCGGTGATGAGCCGCTCGCCGCTCACGAAGTGGATCTGCGCCAGGGGGAAGTAGCGCAGCCAGCTCTGCAGGTGCAGCGCGTACAGGCCGATGCGGATCGCGTTCCACGACGCGTCCACCAGGCCCAGCGTGCGGTTCCGGAAGGACAGGCCCTCGAACGTGGGGATGTCCGGCTTCTTGGACAGCGTCTGCGTGTAGTCGGAGATGGCGCGGGTCACGGGGTTCCGCACCACCACGATCAGCTTGGTGTCTCGGGACATGTTGAAGATCCGACGGGGCGCCTCCTGAGTGACGAAGTAGCTGGGCGTCTTCTCCAGCGTGATCTGGCTCTCCAGGGTCCTGGGCATGAGGCTCCTGCGGGCAGAAGCAGCACAGGTCAGGCAGGGCTGCCCAGCTCCCCGGGGCCCTCCCCTCCTCTGCGACACCCGGGGCTCCCCTGCTCTCGCCTGGAGAGGAACCCGCTTTCTCTCTTGTTGACTTTATGGTTTAGTCTTGAACAAGTTTGCTTTAAGACAGGAAGCGTCCATCAGCACGGGCTCAATAAATGATGGACTAGCCAACAGAGTGAGGTAGGTATGTGTGTACCAACAGAGAACGATGGCCGGGGTAAAGCATTAAGTGAAATGAGGGGAGACAGCATCTTCACCCGGGAAGGGCCCGAGGAACAGAAATGCAGGGGGTCCTGGGGCCGGGCCGGGGCAGAGCGGGGGTGAGGAATGAACGAGAGTGACTTTTTAGTGTATAACCTTTTACACTACTGGAAATTGTTCATGCGGTTGTTACATATTCAAAAGATGCAAAGGAAGGCGCCGAATACTGTTCTGGCAAAAAGAGACTTCTCCAATATACTAGAAAACCTGCTTTGGGGAAAAGATTCGTTTTGTAGGAACAGCAAGTGTTTTAGAAATGAGTTCTAACCACTACACTGTACACCTGAGACTAATATAATATTGAATGTCAACTGTAATTGAAAAATAAATAAATAAAATAAAAGTGTCCCTCATCACTAAATTAAAAGAACAAAACAGAAATTCTTAGCACTTTCTGTTTTGAAAAAAAAGGAAGGAAAATAAAAGGAAAGGAAAAAAGAAAGAAAGGAGTTCTGATGTCTTTCCCTGCAGAACTACCTCCTTGGGATGAGCTTGAAGAAGCACAGAAGTGCCAGCCAGCGGGGCCTCCCGCAGAAGCCAGGAACTGCAACTTCTCGCTCCCCTACTTCTAATTTCTTGGCTCTGCTTGAGCTTCTCGGAGATGATGGTGGGAGCTCCTTCCCAGATGTGTCTCTTTCAGACCTTGATGGAGGGTCACCCTTGACTCCGAGTCATTGCTTCTTTCTGAATGTCATGTTTTACCCTAAACTAGTTTTTCTAATGCTGGCTACACATTAGACCACCTGAGGAATTTTTTTTAAATACAGATATCTGAGCCCCATCCTGCACCAACTGATTAAAACTCTCTGGGGTCGGATACTTTTTTAAAGCTCCTCAGATGATTCCAATGGAAGGCAGAGTCGAGGATGACCAATAGAGGGTTCTCACTCCTAACACTATGATTGACCAACGCCCAGAGCCCTGGGCTTCACATTCCTCTGGACTATGGACTCCTGGTTCCTGGTCTTCTTCATCCCAGACCCTACCATCATGCCTAGTCAATAACCTGGCCTCACAGTCCTTTGACCAAGTATCTCTATTTTCTCTTTTCTAGCAACTCTTACTCCTGGCCACCCCTTGGGTCTTGTCATTGGAATTGCCCCAATTCTGAAATGGTTCACTCTGAAATCCCATTCTAGGACCATGTAGAGGGTTGAATGGTGACCCTTCAAGAGATGTATCCACCCAGAACCTATGAACGGGACCTTATTTGGAAAAAGAGTCTTTGTGGATGCAAGTTAAGGATCTTGAGATGAAATCATCCTGGATTAGGTTGGGCCTAAGGAGTATGCTTATGAGACAACAGAAGGGGAGAAGAGACACAGAGAAGAAGACGATGTGAGGACAAAGGCAGAGCCTGGAGCGATGTATCCAGCAGCCAACAAAGGCCACGGCAACGAAGGCAGGCACCTTACTTCTCTGTACATTCACCACAGCCGCAAATCATTACCCCTGACCTTCAGATCCACCTGTGATCCTCCTGATTTCATGTTCTCGCACAGCCTCTCTGGACCAGTGAGCAGTCATTTCCATTCCTTCCTCCTCTTCTTCTTCATCATCATCATCAGTTTCCTTGTCTCGTTGCTCTTCCAGCCCCTAATAGTACATCCTCTCAACCTTCCATCATTTCTAATTCTGTCTCTGGGTTGCCAAACAGCAGGAGAGAAAATTGCTGAACCTGGCAACTGGATCCTTCCTCTATTTATTTATAATTATTTATTATTTCTATCTTCAACTGAGCCTCAACACTGCTTAGTAATCTGTTATTTTTGATTTTACAGGCCCCTTATGATTTTTCACAGTCCAAATTCTCACCATAAGCTCCCAACTGTACTCCTGTCACCCACCCTTAACACACAACTGGTCTCCCGCTGCACGAGGAAGACGGCTGTCACACCTTCAACTTTTCTCTCCTCCATCCTGAAACGGACTATTACCTGCTCCCCTCCTGCACCCCTCCTGCCGGCCTCAGAGGAAAAGGTAGGCAGGGCTCACCTGTCCACCTGTACTCTCAGGTCTCTTCCCCTATTGCCTTTCCTGGAAACCCGCCCTCAGCCCCTCGAGCTTTCAAAGCCACTGTGCAGCTGATAGGCTGGTACAACTGGTATTTTCTTCCAGGCCCAATGTTTATAATGAACCCATGTGAGTTGGAAGTCTTAATATATTTATTAATAGTGAATAGCCACTTTTAAATATATATCTTTATTGATTTCAGAGAGAGGAAGGGAGAGGGGGAGAGAGAGAGAAACATCAATGATGAGAGAGTCATCATTGATCGGCTGCCTCCTGCACGCCCCTGGCTGGGCATTGAGCCTGCAACCCAGGCATGAGCCCTGACTGGGAATTAAACCTGTCTCCTGGATCCTAGGTTGAAGCTCAACAGCTGAGCCATGCCCAGCAGGGCAGTAGGCCACTTTTAAAATGGATATTATTATTAGCAAACATTCACAAAACACTTGAATAGAGTTCTTTGGTCAGCTTTACTTTGAAATCTGGCTATATTAGACTATAGCCCTGGCATACATTGTAATTAGATGTTGGCCTTTACGATGAAAGTAGAATTACATAAATGTGACAGTGCATTTAAACTTAAGGACTTCTCAAACTCTATGGGATTATTGATATAAAGGTCTCCCCCCCACACAAAGAAGTTGACTTGACAAGCCCTGAAACAGATTTCTCTGCAATACCCTTTAATACACTAAAGAGTAGCCAAGAGAGGAAGTGAGGACCAGCATTTCCCAAACTTATTTGACTAAAGAGCTTTGAACTTTGCCAGGAGCACCAATGAAAATCTCTCTGTTACCAGTTTGGAAAATTCTGACCAGTCCCAGTGGTCTTCAGAGTATCACACCATCCCCTGGCTATGACCTGGAGTGAAGCTCCATCTTCGAATTCCTAATTGGCATGTCAGCTGTGAAACCAAATTACAAATACTGAGGAAGGTACAGACACCAGACTGTAAACAACACGTGCCACGGGTTAAATGGCTCCTGCGTGCTTCAGATTTTCCCTCTCCCCGCAAAGAATACCCTACATATGCATGTCTCTGGAGGTCACTGGAATAGAGCGCTGAGGCCTGCGAGAGGAAAATGTGCTCAGAGACTGGACATGCACCTCCCTGCTCTGTGCACACGTGGGGGCGGGATTAGACTTTCCTTAAGGCTCGCTTTTCCTCTTCATGCCTTTGTTTAAATTTTGCCTACTTGTTTCCAGCTGCTAACACACAGCTGAATTTTTCTGTCACCCCGTAACCCTCTTAAGCTTCAGCCTCCTTTATTTTCCATGTAGCTTTGCAAAAATTACTGAAATAGTCTGACAATCACTGTTTGGACTTACCTGCCATCTGTTATTTTAANTCGCTTTTCCTCTTCATGCCTTTGTTTAAATTTTGCTTACTTGTTTCCAGCTGCTAACACACAGCTGAATTTTTCTCTCACCCCGTAACCCTCTTAAGCTTCAGCCTCCTTTATTTTCCATGTAGCTTTGCAAAAGTTACTGAAACAGTCTGACACTCACTGTTTGGACTTACCTCCCATCTGTTATTTTAACCTGCTCAGCAACCATTGCCCTACATCTGATAAGAGGCCCCCCCCCCCC